GGGGGGGGCGGTGAGCAGGCAGGGGGGAGCTCAGGATGGGGGCCGGTGAGTAGGTTGGGGGAGCTCTGGGGGTCCCCTGTCTTCCCCACAGCCTCCTTCACCCCTTCCCCCATCTCTATGTGTCCATCCCTGTCTCCTCTTAGCTCTTCAGGGATTTGGTCCATCAGGGATGCCAGGCGGTTCTCACCAGTTTCCCCTTCCCACCACCTCCCTCCCTGGCCTGTTCGAAGGCTCCTGTCACGCCCTGTCCGGGATCCTGCTGGTTCCTGCGGGGATGTCTCCTGGGGCGGGGGTGACAGCTCCTGGAGAAGGCCCCTGGGTGCTGCGATGGAGAGCTCCGGGTGCCTCAGTGCTTGCTTGTGGCCGGATCCAACAGCCCACTCATGTCAGTGGAAAGTCCCGCCAACTCCGGTGGGCTTTGGGGACCTGGCTGTGTGTGCTGCCCCTGGCACCCCGGGAGCCTCTTCCCTTAGCACCTCAGCTCTGGGGACTTGTTAACATTCCTGGCTACGTTTCTCCAGGCAGGACAATCCTAAATTCCCAGGGATCCTGGCAAAGCTGGAAGAGGGGCCAATGTGTCAGCGCTTACCTCTCACCTCCTTCCTCATCCTGCCCTTCCAGAGGGTCATGCGCTTGCAGATGCTGGTGGAGGTGAGCCCCGGCGGGGAGGGAGGGCAGAGGTGTAACTGGAGAGTATCAGTCCAGCCAGAGCTGGCCTGGCATTAAAGGGAAGTGCCCTGACTTATAGGGCACCACATGCAATCTAAGGCCTATCTCTGCCACGGACTCACTGTTCGTCCCTGGGCATGTCGCTTCCCCTCCCCGTGCCTCAGTTTCCCCCGTCCCATGCGGATACCCCACCTTTGTGAAGTGCTTGGAGAGCTGCAGCTGAGGAGGGCTCAGTGTTACTACACGGCCCGTTGTTTGGATTCTGTTTGTTTTGTTATTACTCGGGCCAAATTCCCGATGGGCTCCCTGGGGGCTGCGCCCGAGTGACAAGCAGAGCGAAGCCATTGTCAAAATGGCAGGATGTCCCCCAGAGATTGTTAAAACCCATGTCACCTTTCACCACCCACCAACGCCCTTTCTCTCGGTGGCACTACATTGGTCAGTCTTAGGCGGTTTCACTTTCCATCTCTCATGCCGAGCCCGGTCCTGTGGTGTTAGCAACCCAACAATGCAGGGCTTGCTTCAAACCTGTTTGCAGGGCATTTCTGCCGGCTAGCTCTCTATGTAGATCAGAGATCAGGTCCCGCCAAACTGCCGGGTAGGGGTGTTTTAAGTGCCTTACAAGGGCAGCAATTGTCATTTTACGGATGGGGAAACTGAGGCACGGAGGGGACGACGTGGCTTGTCCAAGGCCGGGGAACTCAGGCTGAATCTGTCTGATTCAGAGCAGGGTCTCTGGCACCCGTGCTGAGTGCTCTACCCACCCGGCTTCTGGCTCTTCTGGGGTGGGTCTCTCCCTCTCTCTCCGAACGATTTCGGCTGTGTCCCAGTAAGGAACAGGAAATGGTTTTGAACCTCAAAAAATTGTCACAGGACGGGAACACCCGTGTCCTGCCCGGCTCTGTTATTAAATCTTCCCCCAGCTATCGGCAAACATAACGCGATCGCGAGCTGTCGGGTGACAATGGAGCAGAATAGCAGAGGGAGCCACTTTCTTCCAACACTGCACAAGGAACATTCTCTGCTTCCCTGGAGAGCATCTGCCTAGGACTTCCCCCGCATGGCCCCTGCCTGATGGCCTGATCCAGATGTAAAGAAACAGCTCCCACACTGTCCAACGTGCCGCTTCCCACAGGCTGGAGATATCCGAGCCACAGACTTGGGCAGCCGCCACCTCTGGGCTTCACAGTTAGAGCTGTGGCTTTCAGAGGCCCGCGATGTAGGGCACTGGTGACCTCAAGTGGCAGCCTGGAGTCAGTGTACGCTACCACCCTCCCTCTCTCTTCTACCCCACTCGATCCACACCCCTGCTGGGCCATCCCTTCCTTTGGCACCAGGCGCCTAACTCTGCGTCTGGAAGCGAACTCCCTGCGCTGGCTGCTGCCGCAGTGCTCAGGGGAACCAAGGGAGGCAGCGTGGCCTGGTGGACAGAGCCAGACCTGAGTGTTATTCCCAGCTCTGCTACCGGCTTGTTAGGCGACCTCGGGCAAGTCGCAGCCCCTTCGTGCCTCAGTTTCCCAGCTGTAAAATGGGGGTGAAGATTTCCCCAGCTGCCTGGAACTCCCAGTACAGGGGTGGGGGGCCCAATATAAGCCCCCCAATACTGTAAGTGTTACCCCCATGGCAAGGTACCGTGCCCGGGACCAGGACTGTTATTAAATAGCTCAAGTGTCCTAAGTTGCTTTTTAGAACACACGGGACCCCGTTCCTCGTGGATCTGGACGGGGGACAGTCACCGGCACCAGAGAGAGCGGACTGGATTTGGCCGGTTTTGCCATCACGTTGTCCTGGTCTGTGTTAGCCAGGAGGCCAGAGCAGAGCACGAAGGGCCCTGTAAAGGTTTGCCCCAGGGGCAGGGTCACAGTGCATCGGGCTCAGCCTACACCAGCCACGTCCCCTGCCATGGAGAGCTCACAATCGTTGGGCTACCGAGCGCCTGTGCTGAGATCAGCAAAGTCCCCCTGGCTTCACCGGGCGCCAGCCGAATTCGACTGCGAACACGCTACAGGTCTGAGTCTGTAGCTCGGGCATCCGCTGGTGCCATCGACCCGTTCTGCTCCTGGGGCAGATTCGCGTTGGATTCATGCTACTGATCGGTGAGCCCGGTACCGGTCAGGGCTGCTGATCTGTGGTGCTGAGGGGTTTGGCTAGGGACTCACACCCGGGGCGTCTGAAGCTTCTTAAGTCGATACGTTTTCTGCCTCCTGCTTGCAGAACATCCTGAAACGCACGTTGCAGGGCTCCCGGGACGAGGCCACGGCCACCAAGGCCTTCAACCAGCTCAAGAAGGTAACTGGCGAAGGCCAGGAGGGGCTTTCAGAATGGGATTCTGATTCGGGGGTGTGTGTGACTGGGGCACGTGTCCTTGCAGGGAGAATTGTGGGTCCTCTCTGTGGTCTTGGCCCAGATTCTCCATGGCACTGAGTAGCAATGCGGTGCGGCACAGAGGGGACTGTCAGGGAATTGCTTACACCTTGGCAAAACCCTGGGCGTTGGCATAGGTTAGAGCAGCCTTGGGGCAGCTCTAACTTCCACCAGCTGGCAACAACGCTCCCCGTGTCCCCAGAGGACTGTATGCCAGCCGGGACTGTCTGGAGCACAGGGCTCTCTGGGGATGACACCGGGGCCAGTTCTGCTGGCTCTGCGCCATCTGGGGGAGATTCTCAGCTGGCCGGCCCTGTGGGCTTTCTGGCCCCTCTGCACTGGCTGAGCGGAGATTTGGCGTGGCGGCGGCTAACGGCTCCCTCGCCTCCCCAGCTCGTGAAGGAATGCAACGCCAGCGTCCAGTCCATGAAGAGAACCGAGGAGCTCATTCATCTGAACAAGAAAATCCACTTTGAAAGTAAGGTGAGCACGGGGACTCATGTGGGGGGAAGGGGGGGGCAGAGTCCTTGGAAAGTTGGTTTCCCCCGGAAAGCAGTGAACCCAGAGAACACAGACCGAGACTGGATCTCCCCGAGAAAACACAGCCAGGGCATGTGCGTCTTGGGCCAACTCCAGGGGCTGCAGGAGATACCACAGGGGCGAAACAGCCAGATCCTCAGCTGGTGCCAATCTGTGTCCAGTGGAGAGAGACAGACGTACGCCCCATGGGTGTGCCCCCACCCAAAGGTGTTCTAGACACAGACACATCTGGGTTTGACACTGTGTGAGTTCGACAGGGTGACGCTCGGTCGGCCCTGCCTAGGAACCCAGGCTCCAGTGGGGTTTGAAGACCAGTCTTGTAGCATGCAGGTGATGGGCTCTGAGTTCACACGCTGACCTGGGTGGAGTCGTGGAGTCTATGGGCGCTGGATGCCTTGTCCATATGGCCCCATATTCCTTCGCGCGCTGTATCTTTTACTGATCCCCCAGCCATCCCACCCCAACCACAGCCAGAATGAAATGTAAAGGGCTCCCCATCCTTACCGAGCCCCAGGGCTCCAGCAGCCAAGCCCCTGGTGCAGCTACATCATGGGAGTTCACGCCATGGCCTGGCTTTTGGGCCATTGATGTGTCCTGGTCTGGCGATCCTCGCACACCCTCCCGCTCTGATGTCTCCTTCTCCTTTCTGGGCCGGGGCCCTGGGCAGATCTTCCCGCTGATCTCGCAGTCGCGCTGGCTCGTGAAGCACGGGGAGCTGGTGGAAGTGGACATGCAGCTCATCAGCACCCTCGCCGCCAAGTTCAAGCTCTCCACCAAGATGGTGTATCTCCACCTCTTCAACGACTGCCTCTTGCTCTCCCGGAGGAAGGAGTGAGTGGCGGGGCGGGGCAAGGCGGGGCGAGCTGCATGGGACGGATGGGATAGTCCTGCAGAGCATGGGTCTAGCCGGCCTGGCTCTCCTCGGCTGGAGTTCACGCGCTGGCCCCCTCGCACTCACAGGGCCGGAGGAGCAGGAGGGGGCGGTGCGCTGTCCTCCCAGCAGTGGGACGAGAACCTGGGCTAACAGGCTGTAGACAGCTCTCCTGCCAGGTCTCCACTTGCCCCTGGGCTGGGCGGAGAAAGCGGCTCACAGCTCGGGAGCAGGCGCTTGGGGCTCCACAGTCACCCGGTGCTCTGAGCCCAGACAAGTTCATCGTGGTTTCTGGCCCGCAGGGGAGAGGTCCTGGGGGATGCGCAGCCTGGGCCCGTCTGTCATGCGGGGCAGGCCCCAGAGTGAAAGCCGATCCTGCCCGTGCCTCGTTTCCCAGTTCCCTCCTGCACAGGAGCCACGTGTCCCGCTCCCCAGGCGTTGGTGCCTGCCACGCGCCGGTGGTGAGCACCGGGAGCTGCTGCCCCTTGGTCACCGTCTCTCCCTTTGCCCGTCTCGCCCAGGACGGGGAAATTCGCCGTCTTTGTTCACGCCAAGATGCCGGAGCTGAAAGTGACCGACCTGAGCAGGAAGCTTCACGGGGTCCCGGGACAAATCTTCCACCTCCAGCTCTTCGACAGCCTGCGGCTGAAGCACCAGGTCTTGCTGCGGGCACAGACTGAGTGAGTGTCCAGTGGGGCAGGGCCGTCTCCATGGGACACCCCAGCCCAGCTCCCCAGGGGAGTGGGAGAGGAGGCTCCTGTTAAGCGATGGCCGGAGAGCTGCCTCTGACTCCGCCAGCAGGGGGCCTGCTTAGCCCTTGAGCAGCGCCAGTGTCCCAGCAGTGGGCACAGCTGACACGGGCACCAAGCCCGCCTGTGACAGAGCATCACACGCATCCCCCAAGCCACCAGGCTGCCGGGTACGGAGGGACCCAGCTGGCCCTGGAGGCAGGCTCACCAGAGTGCCCATCGGGTCAGCTCCACAAGGCTCCAGCAAGGACTAGAGCTGGGCCACAGGCTGCCAAGTTTGGCCCTGCCCCCGGGGCTGGATCAGAACCGTCCCGGAGTTGTGGGGCATCAGGATCTGGGATTTGGGTTTGGCCTGTGTGGAGCTCGGTGACCCTCTCCCCAGTTCTGAGCCTGTTCAGATCAGGGGGTCGGTCTGGGGGGCTCTCTGGGAGCCTCGCCTGTCCTGGCAGGGCTGTGCTGACCAGCTCCGTCTGGCCCCGCAGGAGTGAGAAGCAGCGGTGGATCTCGGCAATGGTCCCCTCCAGCCCCCAGACGGACAGGGAGCATGTCACCGAGAACGCAGGTACCCCAAGAACGCGCCCGCCCCCCTCCTGGAACCCAGCAAGGGACCAGCTGGGCCGCAGCAGGATGAAGTCTGCCAAAGTCTCAGGTCCCAGGGGCATGACCCTGCTTCGGACACGGCAGCTCTGCTGTGACTTCGGGCTTCTGTCCCTCATCCCTGGGTACTCCCCTGCCCCCAGCACCTAGCGTCCAGGTGCCCCAATCACACACAGGTAACATGGTGCCATGAAGCAGTCACTCCTCTGTCAGGCCGTTTCCGGAGTCACGTGCCCCTCACTGCTCCCAGCCGAGCTCAGGCAGGGCTGGACTGGCTCCGCGGGGATGTGTCCAGCCACATCACTAGGGAGATTTTGTCCCCGGTGGAACCTTGAGGGTCCCAGACTGGGTAGAAGCAGCCGGACACTGGCTCCGTGCTCCTCCCCCTGCTGGCGCTCCGAAAGCAGCACCTCCATTTCCCTCTGCCGAGGGCTGCAGGTGTGGCCTGATCCTCGCTCGGCACGTGGCCCAGTCAGGCCCAGATCGGCTCCGAACGGCAAAAGGCAGCAGCAGAATACCAGCCGCGGAGGCTTCTGCTCCTGCTGCAGCCCAGGCCGCGCCCTATCGAAGGGGATAATAACCGGAGCATGACAATCGCTGCGTTTCCCTCAGCACCTTCCCTCGGACCCCCAAACCCCGCTGACAAGGGCCCTGTCTGGGGTCCCGGACGGCGCGTGACCCTCTGTGTCTTGCTGCTGCTTCCAGATACCGCCCAGGTCCAGTGCATCAAGGCCTACAAGGCCCAGGAGCATGACGAGCTGAGCTTGGAGAAGGCGGACATCCTGGGGGTCAAGACGAGGACCAGCGACGGTGAGGGGCCCTGGCTTCATCGCTCTTCTCCCTCTCCAGCCCCGAAGCCGCAGCGGCTGGCAGGCCAGGCAGTGCCACCCCCCCCCCCCCCCCGCTCTAATGTTTCCTTCTCTCCCGCCCAGGCTGGCTCGAGGGAATCCGCCTGTCGGACGGGGAGAGGGGCTGGGTCCCTCAGGGGCACGTGGAGGAGATCACCAGCCGGGGTGCCCGGCTGCGCAACCTGCGTGAGAACGACCGGCTCAAGCATGCCACGCGCAAGCTGGAGGAGGAGCAGGCATGAGCCAGCCCGGGTGCCGGCCGGGAGAGACTCTGGGAACACAGCCGGAGCCCTGCGGCGTGGGCAGGACCATGTACACAATGCTGGGGGCAGGGCTGCCGAGCCAGCGTCCTGGGCACACCCACTGAACTACACCGGGCGACGGCAGCAACAGGTGGCCGATCTCCCACGGTCTCCACGCTCCCCACCGCTGACTCAGGCTCCAGGGAGGGAACGAGGCCCCGGGAACCCTCTCCACAAACAGACCTGCTGTTCCGTGCTCTCTACGTGGTCTCCTGGCTGCTCTGGGTGGGATCCTGGCCTGGTCCCCACGGGCACGGCCAGCCGGGGGTAACCATCTGGCAATGAATTCTCTGCCTTGGCCCCTGTCCGAAACAGGATACTGGCCGAGGGGGACCCTTGGCCTGACCCAGTGCGGCCGTTCGTGTGTTCAGGCTTCCCCCACTCAGAGCATCATCTGCCTGGAGCGCAGGGACCAGCCAGGCAAGCGTCTCCCCAGCTGGGATGGGCACCTCGGTGGGGGGAGCAGCGCGCCACCTCCACGGCCCCCAGGCTTCTCAGGGGTAGGGTGGGGGCACGTTCCCACCGCTGCCAGCCTGGGCCAGCATCACACCAGGGAAGAGGGACCCCATTAGTGATCCCCGGAGCTGCCCATTCTTTGAGGGGGGCTGCAAGGCAGGGGGTTGCCCCCCAAACAGCATCGCCAAAGCTGGGCTTCAGGCCCCTCTCCTTCCCTGGAGGTTGTACTGCTCTGCCAGCCCGGGCACCGCTGGCCCGGCACGCTGGCCCCGGCGCTCCCCTGCGATGGCCTGGGGAGCACCGCAAAGGAGCCAGGGTGGGAACAGCCCCCGCTGCTGTCTCACCCGCTGTTCCAGCCTGAGCCGAAGGAGGAGGGAGAGGCCAGGAGAGGCCGGAGAGCCGGGGCAGGGGCTGAGTTTGCACGGGCCGCGCGTCAGTAAAGGCCTTAATTTACTGCTGGGGGAAGGGTGTTTCTTTCACTGGTTCCATTGGGCCGTGCCCACTGCTGGGCTATTCCCCTCCTGAGCCGCCCCC